TATAGTGCATCACATCTCTATTTTATTTAAATAAAGACAATCTGCAACATAGATAGTAAATAAAACTGAAGTAAAACCTTTAAGAATTTGCATGCCACGTATCCATCTGATCCTTTTACAACACACACACAACTTGTTATAGACCAGAAGCCCTAGAAAACTATAATTTACAGGACAACTGTTCTTGCCAGCCACATATTGAGTTAAAGTGTGTTTTTATCCTTAAAATATTCTTAGAGAAGTTATATGGGATACATGTGGCAAGTAACATTTCAAAATCAATGCAATGTTAAATTTTGAAAGTTAACAGTTGAAGAGCTTATATAATATAGTGCTCTACAATTCTCCTCACGGTGCCCCGTAACTCATGAAAATACTTTTATGCTAAACATGGATGCAAGAAGATTTGAATTAGGGTTTGTATTTAACCAAATCCTTCAATTGGACATATAAGTTTTATAGATTTAGATTTAATCCAAATCTAAGTCCATGCTTTCATTATAACTTTTTTTTATAATTTCAATTTTCTTTAATTTCTAGTATCTTCACTATCAATGCTTTTGTTACTCTCTCTCTCTTTCCTCTCATTTCCTGTTCTTGTTTCTCATCAATTGAAGAATAAAGGAAAGCTCACAACTTTCAATCTTCCATTTCTTTTTCAAATCTCAACTTGACTCTCTTTCACCTTTAACATTTTTTATACTATCTAAATAAAGGATTTTAAATTTTAAATTTAAATTTAAATCCATCAATCCAAACACAACCTAAAATTTAAAATGCACTTAATTTTCCCCATTACTTATTGATTAACACATGCAATACTCAATATTGAGAATATAAGGCACTGACAAAGATAAATTCATTTATCAACATGTGACTTCAATTCTCCTTCAAACTGTTGAAGATCTGAGTGCTAACATGTACTTCGTTATATTTCTATAAAACCAAGCCATCATGGAATACCAAGTGCATTACTATATATACTAACAACATTAAACAAGTTAATATCATGGGAAATTAACAACAATTCTACGCTTGATTATCAGAAAACTCAAGAATTTAAACAAGTTATACATACTAACCCCAATCTGAGAGAAGTGTCTGAACTATCATCGTCCGTGGAGGGTCAAATACGCGGCCAATGTTGCCAACTCAGATGACTGATCTTGTTCTTGTGAAGCATTCCTCACCTACACACACATTTTCCATCTTTATAAGACTCCTATTTAAAACTAAGTAATTTGAGAACCAGTGAAGTGGACCTTCCTCTGAACTAAAATGCTTCAAAAGCTTGCATATAATAGTCAGTCAAATTTGGTCAATAACAGAAAAAAAATATAATAACTGCTTTTTTTATATAATATATTATAGGGCAAAAGAACAAATTGACTCATAAAACTATAAATCTGTCCGGTACCCTAAATTATTTTTGATGCAATATTATTCTTCAAATTTTGTTTGATAGATTAGCCAATTAGTAAAAAATTTATTTGTCTAAAAACGTGATCAATCAAAACTTGTCAATCCTCCCATGAGAGGGCTGATTTATGTCATATGCATCCTCAGCCTTCAATCATCACACCTCGGCACCATTTGCTTCTTTCATTTTGTTTCCTGCCAATGATGTCGTCTTTTATTTCCCTCTTTTGTCAACATTAAAATGCGCCACAGACAAAAAACAAAAAAGTCACATTCCAAGGAAATTAATCACTGCTTCTAACGGAGCCTTTTTCCTCATGTCAACACTGTCATTTTCAGACAAAAAGGGATCCAAAAAGTTATAGTATAAAATTTAAAAATTATAGATAATAACCTAAAAAATAAAAAAAATGATAAAAAAATAATTTTTTATTATTTATGAGATCATTTTCTGTCATTTATTGGTCAACTAATGACAAGTTAAAGTTAACTTTTGTTGATTATAATAGCTACATTGCATTGTTTCAAAAATTGGAGAATAATATTACACAAAAAATAAATTTAAGATCCCAAACATACCTGAACCTATAATTTAAAGCCTAATTTGCTCTTTTATCCCACATGATATTATGCATCTCTATTTACATGTCCTGACTTGCATTTTCATTTTGCACCTAAATATGTCCTGGTCCGAATTTTGAGGTATAATTATTACTTGTTTTCAATAATACCCCTGTTTAATGGAGGGCAAACCTGGAATAGAAAAAATAATTCTTACATTGCACATAGATTTTTTCCTATGAGGACAAGTAAATAGTGACGGAGGAATTATAGTTTAATAAACTAATTCAATTATGAATTGTTCAACAGAAGGTAAACCATCAACAGGTCGATAAACTTTAAAATCAATATCTTAACCCGTTCAACACCCAGTCTAATTTTATGAACATTGGAAATGACAGACATTAATGATTTAAAAATGCAAATACTTCAAAATGTCGATTACCTATTTTAATCGCTGATTCTCTTCCATCAACTGGAATCTCTACACGTATAAAACAACTAGCATTTTAAGAGAAGTGAGGGTACGTAAAAGCTAGATATGATGAAGTTTAATACTTATGGACTAAATAATGAACACACGCACACAAGGAATACACAACCCATCGAAGTCTTAGACTCGCTATTCTAGTCCATATGGTGCATATTTTAATGGATATTTTTACTTGAGATAATGAAACTTTTGATCTCTCCAATTTGCCTTAATTATTGACTAGGTCCTTAAAATCTAATTTTTATTAAGCAAGTCTCTAAAGTTTCATAATCACTGACAAAAAGGCCCAAAGGTTTAAAGGGGAAATAACACTATAAGGACTATTGTGTATGCTTATGAAACTTTAAGGACTTATTAATATAGATTAAACTTCAAGTGCCAAATTGATAACTAAGGCAAACTTGAAGAACCAAAAGACTCATTGTCCCCTTTTATTTTTATTCGGTCAAATATTCTGTAGCAGAATCATGTAGTTGTCAGGTTTGAAGACTAATAATGTATTCTTAATTCAAGAAATTGATAAATAGTTTTATTTAAGAAGGGATCAAACATTGAGACATATCTTTCCGAGGCCAAAAGAAACATTAATTTCTACTAATTACACTGAATTTTACAAGTGTCTTGGATTCAAATTGAGAACATTCACTATCCTTGATTCAAGAACACAAAATGGAAAAATGATTCAAATTCTACATGCATGAATGGGAAAGGGTAGGAAAGTTTTTGATGATGATAATTTTTTTCAAGCTCAAAGAAGTTGTAACTAAACAAACATAAATGAGATTTCAACAATTAAGTTTTGAATGTGATTGACCTTTATCTGCAGTGCATAGATTTATTGAAGTAGATGACCCTCCCACAATTTGAACAACATAAACGTAAACCTTAATCAAGAATCAAAAGTACATAAACAAATTATATGTTACCTGCACTACAAGAATGTAATGATTAAGGGATCACACTCCTGTATAATTCTATGCTTGATGATCACAACTCAATAATTTGATTTAACTTGTTAAAATACGTAAACAAATTCTTAACGGATTTTTTTATAAAATATTCTCGCCTTTCATCTTAACTCTCAACACACATGAGACCTATATAAAAACTATTGAATCCCAGTTCAATAAGATTAATCATCTTAAAATGATGTAGAGAATGGCAACTCCTTAAACCAGTCAAGCAGAGAAATGATGCAAATACGTTGCATTAATTGCGTCTGTAATTTATGACATAATGGTGGCAATATTCTAGTTTTTTTTTTTTTTCTCAATGAAAAGGGAGGGGGAAAAGACCCAAACACTACCCTATATAGTGAGTTACTTTCTGATCAGAATATCTCCTGACACAAACTCATTCATGATTACAATTAATGGATTTAAGATGAGTAAAAGGGATAACTATAAAGAGCTTCGTTAATCTATGAGTTTCCATTGATTCTAATCAATTTAATCCTGGTAATTTTCAAAGATAGTCTGCAGAAATGAAGAGTACCGTATCCAAGAACAAAAGCTTCAAAATTCAGTGTATTGAATCGGACTATTATAACTCTTGGACGGGAAAATTAATAGATCTCCTCTACATAATTCAAAGGGGCGTTTTAACTTTGATATCACCAACAAAGATTTGGGATAATTTTCCAAATCTCACAAAGTAGTTTCAGAATTTTGCTACCCGTCGTAAATATTTTGAACTTCGCTCACTTTTTTTATTCACTTCCGTTGTTAATTACTAATCTAAACTTCTTCAAAAATTTATTAAACGTTCTAAGCAAAAACAACAAAATAGACAACCGGAGTAGATTTCATCCAAGCAAATTTTAGTATCTATGGACGTGTGGGCATGACAAATGTCTCAAATACGCATGCACATATAGAAATTTAACGTTCACAAATATACTGTGATGTCAGAGATTATTATATCAATGCGTTGAGTATAATGCCAATATCATACCTAAATGAACATCCAGAAAGAGCTTTCTCTTCTGAAAATTAATCATGTTTGTGAATCAGATATTACCCTAAGCACCATCTTTTTCTCAGGCAAGCTGAACACTAAACAATTCTTTTTCTTAAATGGTCAAAAGGTCTCATTCAAAATAAAGAATCCTCTTGTCCAGCGGCTTGTATACTATCATTTGTATCTATGACAACGAAGATACATACAGGCAGGCATGTTGGACATGAATTAACTATAACAAACATGACATCATGCTGGCATTATCTTTGCAGTTACAAATCAAAACAATAAATGATTAGTTTTTAAAGTCACTTTACTCTGTTATGATGAAAAAACAAGATATATACATTTATGTTGGATTATGCCAGAACCTTAGGTTCAGAGTATTGAAAATATATTTCTCAAGTCTGTCTTATTTATAGATTCATGGTTGCAATTAATCAACAGAACTGGATAGGGTGGGTTCTCATAACAAGCAAGTCATCCAAGATGATGATGATGATGATTTTCTCAAAAGAGAGAGCTGCAGATTAAATCCATGAGGATTGAAAATTTTACCGAAATTCTCTAGCAAGCACGTTCGTAGTCAATCTCCTGTTAGTCTGGATTAATAAGCCTAAAATGAAATTGAATTAATAAGCACAATTACACGACATACGAATGTTGCAGATACGAATGAAAATTAAAAAAATAATTTTCTGGAAAAAGCATTCAACTGTATATCATCAAGGTGATGAAAAGGAAACTAAAAGAAGAGAGAAGGAGAGACCTTGAGAAAGAAGAGAGAAGGAGAGACCTTGAGCTACCATATACAAAGAGCTTGCCAGTAGCAGAAAAGACTATGAGAGCAATCTCAGCATCACAGAGAGTAGAGAGTTCATGAGCCTTCTTGAATAGCCCTCTTCTTCTCTTTGAAAACGTTACTTACCTCGCTGTTATGTTATCGATCTTCTTTATTTCTATCTTCTGTCTTGTCATTTCCTGATTATGCAAAAATAGACCCAAAAATCAGGAAAAGAATTCAGACTCTGCAGAAAATAAAATTACTAAATATTTCGTAACAAAAAACAAAAGGAATATTAGTGTCCAATCAGAAAAGGGAAATGCGGTGGCTCATTCTCTCCCAAATAGAAGTAGAAAATCAATATCTCAGATCCATTAAGCAATACAGAAAACTAATCGTAAGAAAAGAAGTAAGGAGAAACCTTGGAGAACAAAGAGGGCTTTTAATCAGAACAAGCTGATGAATCTTACTGTGAAACACCAAAATATTACAGGAAAAGAAATTAAAGGAGGAAATTAGTTGTCTAAAAGAGGAAATGCAAGATTGCAAGAAAGAGGATAACGCTTATCGGCCAAGAATCAGGAATCAACCCTGGCTGAAAAGAAAGCTTAGGCAAGGATGTGATGAAGATGAACCCCATCTACAAATCGTCCATAAGCGAACAAACAGAGAGAGAGAGAGAGGGAGGGAGGGAGGGAGGGAGGGAGGGAGAGGGAGAGGAGGTATGCGGGGTGGGAGGGGAAGGAAACGAACTTTTCAGTAAAAGAAGGATTTTTTTTTTTTTTTGGGGTGACATGAAAGAAGGATAATTACTCGTGACGAAGGCAGGAAACTTTCTTCGTTTTATTTCCTTTTGTGGATTTGTACTCGATAGTGAGGTAGTGGTAGGAGCATTACGCCCCACGCAATAGTGCATACCCCATCCAACGAATTGCAGAGAGAGATGTAAACTCAATTTTAAAATTACGTCAGAGTTTAAATAAATCAAACTATAAATATTTATTTATAATCTAACTTATTTTATAAATTTTTTAATTAAATTTTTATCAAATAAATCATATCAAAGTTTGAATAAGTTAGAGTGTAAATACCTACTTATAATTTGATTTAATATGTAGATTTTTTAAACATATTTTTTTATTAAATAAGTCAAGTTAGAGTTTAAATAGACTGAATTATAAGTCCCTTTATAAAAATTTGTAAGGTAATTTTTTAGAACAAGTTTTGAAAATATAAAATGCAATAAAAAAATTAATTTAATGAAAGAATTATTTTTTAAAACAAAATTATTTTTACATGAGATGATAGGGCAAATATGGGACATTAGATATTTATTGAATGGTTGAGATTTGGATGCTGAGGGATGCTGAGAGAGGACGATGCTAAGAGGATCTAGATCCGTTCATGAGATGGGTTTGGTTTGGTTTGTTTTGAGTAAAAATTAAATTGAACCAAACCAATCGATTCATTATAATTTGAAACTTATTTATTTTTTTATCTAATTGATTTGGTTCAGTTTAGTTTAGGTTTAGATCAAATTTAAACTTTTTTATAAGATATTCTTTATAATTATCAACATAGATTCATGTTGAATGATAATTTTTAACTACTAATTACTATTTGCAATGAAAAAAAATATTGAACACAAAAGAATATTTGTTAAACAATTAATAAACATATTTAACCATTAAAATTCAATATATTATCTTTAAGACAATTGATTATAAAATTAAAAAAAAATCATTACAAACAACTGTAGATAACATTTAGCTAATTTAATGAATTTTTACTAATGATTTACAAATAAATAAACTTGGGAAGGAAAAAAAACCTAGACAAATTAATTAATATATATATATATATATATATATAATAAATATAATAAGACTTAGTTCAGTTGAGCTCAAGTTTTTAAAAAACTAAACTAAATTAAACTAATGGGTTTTATCAAAAGAAAAACCAAAGCAAACCTCATTAATAATTAATTTTTAATTAGTTTATATTGGTTTGGTTCGATTTAATTTGGTGCAATCGGTTTAAATTGGTTTCGAACACCTTTATAGAAAATGAACCTTTAAGGCAAAAAAACATAATAATAAAATTTTCAAACCACAAGATTTCAAAAAGAATAATGATGATTAAGTCTCAAATATGTGAATTAATGATAGTTAAATTTTATTTTTTTGAAAATAAATTACTAATATCAAATTAAGTAACTGCAAATTCAAGAGTTTTAATTATAGATGAAATATATATTTAAATTCTAAATATAGCAATCAATTTGCAATTTGTAACAATTTAAATCAATATTTTCAATTTATTTTTTAGGAAAAATTAGTTGAAAACCTTACTGTTATTAATTTCTTTTTTGAGACTTTATTGCTATTCTCCCTATTTTAAAAGATAAATTTAAGAACCTCAATCCTTTATTGATATTTAAAAAGGTTAAATGATCAAAATGTTTTCTTCACATAAAAGGAAAAAAAAATAACAACAATCACATGATGAGTAGCTGATTTTGTTATGTAGTTTGTATTTTTACAACTTTGAACGAGGACAACATTGTAATCAGTATATCCAATCCTCTAAAACTTGTTGAGTAATTGAAAACCGATGCCACCCTAAAGGATATATTTCTCTTTATAATAGAGTTTGCTACACCTTAATTTTTATAAGAACTAATGACAATGAAAAAAATTAAAGTATTAAATATATAGTATTTTTAACTGACTAGTGCATAAGGCTTTTCTAGCCTTAGTACATTTACAAATTAAATTTTATATAAAGTCAAAAGTTACTCGTTAAAGCTTTGATATGCTCTCACTATTATAAAAATAATATTTAATAGCATATATTTCATAACAATAAAAAAAATAAAATGCTATTAATCTCAAATCTAAAAAATAAAGGTGTTGTTTATTTTATCAAATGTCACAGCTTATAATTTTTTATTTATAATTATAGTAAATTTTTAGAGGTGGTGTTTCTTAAATGAAGTGCCACATATTTATGTTCATTAAGAATTAGGTGGCATTTTAATATTTAAACACCACCTCTCTACTTGGTACAAAATAATAATGTTATTTTTTATATTATAAAAATATTTTATTATAATTATATAATTAGTATAAATAATCAGTATGTACAATTTAATAATAATTAAAATAATATAGGCATCGTTTCCTTTATTTGAAAATGCCACCTCTCTTAAAAATTATAAATTATTAATTTATATGTATTAATTCTTCATCTTAAGTAATTTATTACTTTTTATAATTATTATTAAATAATATATATAATACTTATTAACATATAATTTTATTTTAGTTTTAAATTATTTTTATTATTTAAATAACATATTTTTTTATACATGTCAGAATGTTCATGTTTCTTATTTGAAGAAACGCCGCCTCTATGTTTTATCAAATTATAATTTTTTGATATTAATTGTTAATAATTATATATAATATATATATATATATATATAATGTTTTTGTATTTATTGAGAGAGGTGGCATTTTGTTCACTCCTAAAATACCACTCTGTAATTAATTATTAAAAAATTAATATATTAGAAATTAATTATATAAATATTTTATATTTTTAAATTATTATTTGTAAAGCATAATATTTTGTTTAAATTACTAAATAAAGTATGTAATAACTATGAACACTAATCTACATATATTCTTAACTAATACAAACTTAGATATTGATCATTTTTTTACATTATAATAAATTAATTTAGTGATTTAATAACAAATTTATTTAAGAAATTAACAACTTCTACTATGTAAATAATAAATATAAATATATTATTTTTTGATAAATAAAACATAAAGGTGGTGCTTCCGGTATTTAAAAATGCTACATATTTTTTTATGTATTAGGTTATAATTTTTTGTTAATATTTAATATATATATATATATATATATAATATTTTATTTATTTTTATTGAGAAGGGTGGCGTTTGTAGGAAACAAAAATGCTACCTCTCCCCTTAAAATATTAAAAAAATATTAAATAATTATTAAATAATTATATTATATTTGTAAATTATTATTTTAGTAATTAGTATTTTTTAATAATTACGGTTTAATAAAATAAATAATAATTATCACCACTAATATACATTCTTAGTTAATACAAATTTAGATACACATTTGATTACTTTAAAAATTTGAATACTTAACATTATTTTTGAAATAAATTACATATATTATTTTATTTATTTTTAACAAGAGAGGTCGAATTTGTAGAAAAACATAACGGCACCTCTCTCCCTCAGGTATTAAAAAATAATATATTAAATAATAATTAAATAATTATTTTATATTTTGTAAATTATTATTTGTAGCCATATCTAATAATTTGTTTAACAATTATTATTAAATAAAAATATAATAATTAGGATTACTAATATACATTTTTAACTAATATACATTGAGATGTTCGTTTGATTATTTATAATAAATTAGCTTTAGAAATTTGAATACTTAACTTTATTTTAGAAATTAAATAGGTATATTATTTTATTTATTTTAACAAGAGAGGTCACATTTATAGGACAATAAAATGCTACCCTCTCTCCCTTAAGTATTAAAAAAATTATATATTAGATATTAATTATATAAAGATTTATTACTTATTTATTTATTAATTTTAGAAGTATTTATTATTTATTTTAATAATTATTATAATATAATATATATAATTACCTATAGCAATAATTTACATTACTTACTAATAACTATATTAAAATATTTATTTTATTACATTAGTTTTAATTAGTTTTATTTTTTTGTACATATTTTGTTATAGAATATTATATATGATAATTAATGATTAAGATAATTTATAGTTAAATAGTATTTATTTATTAATTAAGTTTTAGTTTTCCTACCAAACCTTATTTAATAATTCATTTATTTTTAATATTGTTATAATATACATATATCTATTGTTATCTATTTAACTGAAATTATTTATAATATTTTATTATATTCAAAGAGAGAGGTGGCGTTTATTCAACCTAAAAACACCTCCTCTCTATCTAAAAAAATGATATATTAAATATAGAAATATATAGTATTTAGTAATATGTGCCTAAAAATAATAATTAATATATATATAATTATTAGTAATAATATACATTATTTAATAATTACATATATTTAAATATGAATTTTGTTATAATTTTTATTAGTTTATATTTTTAATATGTAATTTTATTATAGAATTTAAAATTTTATTTTTAATACATTATTTACCCTATCCATATGTCAGTGCATTGAAAATATTGAATTGAGACATTGACAGAAGTGACTATCAGTTCTCAAAAATTGCCACCTCTATCATTATTGTTTTTTTTTTAAAAATTGACTAGGCAGTAGCTTTAATTTTCATTTTACTTACACATTCTTCACTGCATTTATCTTCACTGCTACAGCTCCTTCACATTGCCTTCAGCTCACCAACTCGTGGTCCTCTTCC